ACGGGTGAAACGGCGAGTTTGATGCATGTAATGTGGGTCAAACAATAATAGACCATCCCCCAAATCACCATAAATGGGTTGTATAAACCTCAAAACTGGGGTAGTTTATTATTGTTTTACCAACATTATATATTATAGTTTTGCTGGTGGACTAACTTGGATAATCCCGGATTGTGTCAGGAGATCAAGAACATCTATGGCCACACCGCAGCCAGTTACGCGGCCAGTCAGAAGTTCAAGGCCTTGAACTCCGCTTGAGATGGCGACAAAATCCTGACCAAATGGGGTTTCTTAAGTCATGGGGGATCTCCCATGGTTGTTTCAATAGTGAAATGGTCTAATGATTAGTAGAGTCTAATGACTTGGATGATTTGGGGGTACCCCCATCACTTAGGAAAGAAACGAGTATGAGTACTGTACCTCAATCTACAATGGTATATTTTAAGTTTGTTTTGTATTTTGCTGCCCAAACTTGGGACATTGTGAAGAGTAAGGGGTATTTGCTGCCAAATGAGCAGTGTTCAAAGCCCCTGTTGGCTGAATAGTAGTTTACTATAGTTTACTGTTATAATACTGTTATACTATCGATCTATGTTGGGGAATATCATATTCCATTGGGGGAATCCCGGGACGACCGCGGGGTTTGAACACTGCTGAAACGGCCATAGTCATGGAGCTCGTTGGAAATGTCAACATCTACCCTTCGGCAGTCAACCATGGCTAGCTGGGCCTCTATATACAAATGGAGATTTTAAATGGGCGTACCCCAACATGGATAGTTTTTAGTGGAACATTCTTTTAAAATTGATGATTTTAGGGGTACCCCTATTTTAGGAAACCTCCAAATGGAGATTTTGAGGGGACAATCATCTATAAATTTGGGGGTATTTTCCAGCAAGCCATGTGACTGATTACCAGATGGTAAGTCAACCCTAACACTCCAAACGTCCATTGTATTTTTTTGCGATTGAGCCGGCTGCGGCTTCCAGTTCAGAGCTCTTTTTCTAGATTTGGATGGACACCTAGACAGGATCATATACTGGTTGGCGGTTTGGAACAGTTTTTATTTTTCCATATATTGGGAATAATCATCCCAACTGACTTTCACTCCATCATTTTTCAGAGGGGTAGGTTGAAACCACCAACCAGATGCCAATAAAAATCCCATTAGATCCCAAAAAAAAACACCATTAAATATCCCATTAAAAATCCCATTAGATCCTATTAAACCACCATAATATCCCATTAAAATTCCCATAATATACCATAAATCGTTGCTGGTTGGTATTGCTTGGTGGTTTCCCGGATGTCTTGTTTTCCCTGGGATGATGACACCCGAAGTCACCAGAACTCAACGCCAGGGAGTGGCGGATGTGCTGAACCGTGCTGACCCAGCACGGTCCCAAAGGAGTCCCCGGTAGTCATGAAATCACAGGCATAACCCATCATATTTTTAGTGGGTTATAACATGTTCTAACGGGATATGATTCAGAAATCTTGGTTGAAACCACATATATATATATATATACATACATATATTTATATATTATACATATATTTATATATACAATACCCTCTGGTAAACGTTAACAAAAAACTATGGAAAGATCCACCATGTTCAATGGGAAAATCCACGATTTCTATGGCCATTTTCAATAGTCTGGTAGGAGATTTCCATGGGGAGAATCCCCTTTTGCTCGCGGTTTATGGTTGATGGAAACTCCCATGAAATGGATGATTTTTGAGAATATCCCCAGTTTACGAAACATTGACTGATAATGATGGGGATTTATGGTGATTTTCCTGGAGATTTAAGCAACAAAAATGGGGGATATTATGATATTAATAGGAAATACCCTCTGGCAAACATTCACATAGCTATGGAAAGATCCACTATTTTATAGCTGGGTAAATCCACTATTTCGACTGGGCAATTTCCAATAGCTATGTGAATGTTTACCAGAGGGTAAATGTTGGTTGTGGTTCTACCATACTTTGTAGATGTGAGAGTTATCAGTATGAATGATATCACTGGCACGACTGGGTGGAGAGTTTGATGCTGAAAAGCCTCTTGCGGTAAATCTGAATATATATATATATATATTTATAATTATACTGACCAACTTTTAACAATTAGGGGATATTTCATGAGATATAAAAAAGGTGTTTCCTTTTAAGTGGAGGATCCCCAAGTCACCATTCCCCAAGTCACCATTGGTTCAATACTATATAAGAATATAAGATGTGTTCAAAGTTATATTTGAAAATGATAGATCCATGGTTATAATGGATCATATCCATTAGTTATTAACTATCATCCATGGTTCAATCCTTATAATGAATATAGATTGGATATCCCCTCAGGAACCTCCGATTTTCTGCAGCCCACAACTTGCTTCGCCCCAGGAGGGCCATAGAGAAGGAGAAAGCCGATGAAGACGCGGCAAAGGTGGGTCGAAGATGGTCGCAGAATTCCAAGAGTCGCGGCTGATGGGAAAAGTCAACGAAAAGCGCTAGGGCCAATCGTCCAATCCATGTTTTTTTTTGGGATGGGTTCTCATATGTTCTCATAAACCGATTCTTTGAAACGATAACTTAATGAGTTTTCTGCTCAATTTCATGGGTTAACACATATCTTTGGGCTCATTGACTTCAAAAAATGCCCAATGCCTACGACCCTGGGCCTGGAATTTGGACGAAACCCATGAAAGTATACATATAGATTTTTTGTTTCCCCAGTTTTTTTTCCAAAAAAACAACTTTTCCATTTTGTTGGAGGCTTCTGTATACGAACCCAAGCGGCTTGATCTGCTGATCGCCTACGCCATAGGCGATCCAGGATAAGATCAAGGAACATTTGGAGGCGATCAAGGCCAAGGAAGCCGGGAAAAATGGAAAAATCGGCCGAAGATCTGCGAAAGGGATTCCAAATTCGTTTGTTTTTCTATGAACTTCTGGTGTTGGAGATGGTCGCAGTACTTTTTTTTTTGTTTGTCATCTTTTAGATCGATGTTCTTAGATCATATGCGTTGACCGGCTTACAAAACTAACGGCTGAATGCGGACTCAACACCTCCACGACCTAGCCGTCAGGAGGAGAAAGGGAGCAAACACGTGAAGGCGGGCGCCCCCACGGATCAGGCATGTCTTTTCAGCCGTGGTGCGCAATGCAAGAAGTAGAATTGGGTCGTACAGTATGTTACCAACAAATACGACATTGATGGTATATATATATATTTGGAAGCATTGATATTTAATTATGATGTTCCATTCAAAATCTCGGCGGGTTCAGGTGGGGTTATGATTATCACCATGTTTTTTTTTTGACATTTTTCAGCTCCTTTTTCAGTTGGGATGTGCCAGGGGAAGGCCGCTGATTTGCATGACAAGGATGGAGAGGATCAACGCCAACCGATCAACGGGGAGGTGGTGCATTTCGTTCGTTACTTACCCTCCGGTAATCTACGGTAATTTTTAACGGTAGCTATAGAAAATGGACCAGTTATAGATGATTTAGCTGTTATAAATGGTGATTTTCCATAGTTATGTAAACGTCTACCCAGAGGGTAACTTTTGGATTGGGGTACCCCGATGTAAAAAAACATACAACTAACCAGACTAACTCCGGAACTTTAGTTTGTTTTGGATTGCATGACACTGGCTGACATGATATCGATGAATCCATATAATTCCAGCTGAATCAGAATTATGTAGTGGGTAGTTCGGGATGATCAAATCCAAATGAAGCCGTTGAATCCAAAGCAATTGGAGACATTTGGAATGATTCTCATGTGGGTGCCTAATCAACTGTGGGGTCTGGTAGCGTTCACCCTGTTTTTCTTGGATGTTTGGTGTACGGGATCTATGTTATGATAAGTTATGATGTGGATGTAAACTTACCCTCTGGTTATTTAACATAGCCATGGTATAGATGGCCCTAATCGAAATAGATGGTTTGCCGAACTTATTAGCATGGTGGATCTTTCCATGGCGAACTGGCAATGTCATAAGCAGATGGGTTCACCATGTGTTGCGTTCTGTTTGGAACATGAAACAGGAAACAGGAGCAATGTGGGTGTGTCTGAAAATAGTGTACCCCTAAACCCAATGGTTTTGCTGATCATTATCCCTATTAAATGGCTATAATTGGGAATATACCCTATTTTCAGACAAACCCATGTATGAACCATTGATGGAACATATCGGACCATTTGGAACATCCTCCATATACGGAGGTTTTAACACATTGAAAAGCGCTTGCAAATGAACACAACTGAAACCTGCCCATCTCCGACCGACATAGGAACATGTGAGAAAGATGCTGCGTTCACCCCAGCTCGACGGATTGAATCTTGTGAGAGTGATCATTCACTCCACTTGTAAATGGGTGTTTTCTTCCAAATGGGGGATATTTGTGGCAAGACTATCGGAAATGGCAATTGACATCTCAAACAAACCCAGGCTGTTGAAGTAACATGGCACTCCCATCCTTTGCCGATCTTTGCCGTCTTTGGGCTCAGCCTCCGCAAACAGCGGACAAGGACAAGCCACATTGGATGTGGCCTCAAAATCAAGGTGGGTCAGATCCCAAACTTTCTGGTTTCGAGCAACCAAAAGAAACAATTTAGATATGTTTCAAATTGTTTCGACAGAATTATGGAACAACATGACCCGAAAACGGAGTGCGTTGATCTTGGACCTGCATTCAAGTCCGCCTCTATTGGCTGAAATCAAAAGACAGGTACAATTGAGTACAACTGCAAAAAGCATTAGGCAGCTTTCGACCGAGGGGAGCTGAAAAACTGACAAAAATATATTGTTTCTTCAGCAAAGTCACAGTCATATGCATTATATAATATGTTTGTGAAGTCCACTCAGAGTCTACAAACAACATCAACAAAACAGCACAAACAAAAAAGCAATCATGATAATCTCACTCCTACCGTGGATAAGCCTCCCAAACGATCCAGCATTTACCATCACTTCAACATCCAAAAGTGGGAAAGCTGTGCCATGTCAGCCAAGGCCAAAGCCTATCTGGCACCTCCCAGCTATTGGTCCCCAGTGAGTGCCCCGGGCACCACCTATGCCCCGGTCTACTCCGCCCCCGGCGTCGCCCCTGGCGTCGCCCCTGGCGTCCCCAAGGGCATTCCCCTGCCGCGCCCAGTGGTGACGCTACAGGTGCCGCCAAAGGCTGCTCCTCAGAGAACTGAAGAAGCCATTCTGGACCTGAAAGATCAGAGCCCTGGATGACCAAGAAATCATGCGGAAAAACAGGGCTTGGTTTTCTGAGTTTTCTGTTCCCTTTTTGATTTTGAATCATTGAAAATGTCTCTGTTGGAGATGAGTTATATCAGTTATATCTCCAATAGTTGGGAGATGTTAAGAATTAAGACATTTACCAACCCCTGTTTAAGATGTCTTAGCCACACAAATGGTGATTTTTTCTGGGGATATCATGGTGAATATCTGCGAATTTTAGAGGCTTGACTGATTTTGGACCACGGACTTGATTTCCCATTCAATTGGGGCTTAATCAAAGAAAACAGGTAGGAATTTGGGTTCCAGATCGCTCATAGCTCAAGTGTTTGATGTTTTTGTGCCCAGGCATTGTCTGATGATTTGGGGTATGTATCGCTTCGATTTTCGTTCACTTCATTCCTCTTGCCCATGGGGTTTGAATATATGTTCATTGGAATCTGACCCTGACCAATCCTCAACCCATCATCAGCCCATTGAATTTTGAAGTGTGGAAGTTCATCAGATATCAACAAAAATCCGGGAGGGGATGGTTTTCACTAATGAAACCTTGGCAAGCTAGGTTAGCGGGTTAGCGAGTTGGTGTTTGGCCGTGAAGTTGGCGGAAGTTAAACAGATTTAACCAGCGAAGGAAAAACAACATGTTGACTGGCATATTGACTGGCTCCTCAGCCATGCTCATCAGGAGGCAGCTACCCCTGTTGGTGTGAACAACTGGCAAATTCGTTTGTTCTCTACCCTAATAGCCTATCTTTCCTCCGTGGTTGGCTACTATGCCACCTTTTCCATATCATCCAAAGGTTGCTATGATATGCCGCCCTGCAGAAAGTGGCCCCGTTTTGTGCATTCGGAACAGACTTAACATCAACTAACTCAACTATGCTTGCTACTTTCCATGGATCATGGAGCTTGGAAAATCTTAGAAACCTTTGGGGAATATCGAACATGAATAGAAAGTAAAGCTTTAATTAATTCTCTGGTTGGTGGTTTGGAACCATGGAATTCTATGACTTTCCATATATTGGGAAGAATAATCATCCCAACTGACGAAGTCATATTTTTCAGAGGGTTAGGTATACCACCAACCAGTTATGTATATATATATATAAACCATTATAAACCATACATAAACCATTACCAAGTGTTTTAACTATGTCCCAACCACTATTAACCACCAATTAGATCTAAATCAAATCTAAATCCCAGTCTATCCAGGGAGCCGATGAGAGCTGGGGGCATCCATACCGAAAAGCCATGTCCGGAGCTCCGAATGGCGGATTTCACAACCACATGTTGATGATTTGAGTAAGTTATATTCATATCTGGTTGGTGGTTTGGAACATTAATTTTATTTTCCATTTCATATATGGGAACCAACCACCAACCAGTATATATATATATATATAGACTAGTTGTTAGTCAGTTTCCATTAAGTATCCCCCATTCACCATTATTTATGATTATCCCTAGTCAAAACATCTTATAAAGACATGTACTTCGCGCTTGTTGGGAGTCAATTCACATGTTGGGTCGCCAGGATCGGAAGCTTGCGAAAGGACTTGTCCAATGTGCGCGAGCGCCTTGGAGTTGAGTCGGTCCGTTTTTTTTTTCGAAAATTCAGCGAGTTTTATCATAGGAAACATGATGAATTCAGTTTTATAGCAGGATAATGATCAATCATTAATATCATTAAATGTTAATGGGATGACTATCTAACAATTAGAGTGATTAATAGTGATGCTAGTGGTTAATGATGATTAATATCAGCCATTAAGATAATTAAGATTATAGGTAATTATATGTATATATACATATATACATTGCTTAAATGTATTTTTGTTCAACCAATTATAACTGTTGAGGGCTATTAGCTATAATGTGAGTAAAACAATGTCATAAACCATCCCCCAGTCATCACCATTTTTATAGGTGGTATAATCATAAACCATTCCCAGTCATGGGTGGTCTATGGCATAGGTTTTAACCACATGAATCATCCATTTTCAGACAAAGCCAGCTGGATCAACTGCGTGGTTTCTTTCCTTTTGAATAGCATAAAACTAGCTGCTCTCCAATGGCCAAATGAGAGTAGATATTTAATGACTGGTTGGTGGTTTGGAACATGAATTTTATGACTTTCCATATGTTGGGAATTTCATCATCCCAAGTGACTTTCATATTTTTCAAAGGGGTTGAAACCACCAACCAGATGATATTCCTTTGCTTTGGGAGGTACCTTTATTATGATCCAGGTTGAGGGATTTGAACATGTTCAACAATACTGCAACACCTATGTCTCAATAAAGCTTCCGTGATTTAGCAAACTTCTTCGTGTCATGGATATTCAAGCCCCGGTACATGCTTAGTAAATGTTAGTAAGCCCCTATTCATGGTTTTTGTGTGGTGTTAAGCCCTCAAAAATGAATTGCCGAATTGATTTTTGTGGACCCTACATTCATCTACATTCTACATCGCCTTTTTTCTATTAGGAATCCCACTAAGATCAGAAAAAAAAATACCCTCTGGTAAACTAACATAACTATGGAAAATCCCCATTTTTAATGGGTAAATCAACTATAAATGGGACATTTTCAATAGCTATGTGAATGTTTACCAGAGGGTATTTTCGACCTTACGTACCAACAGGATTTCTTGCAACAGGATTTCTTGATTTCCGCCCAGGAACGTCGACGAACAATTGCGGCGTTCGGAAGAGCAGGATGGGCGTCAAAACCCTGGGGTGTTCAACTGGGTTTTTTTGACTTTAACAAGGAACATCTATAGAATCTATGGTTAAAGGATGTTGAAAGCATACAGTTGGAGTTTCCTGGATCATGCGCTGGGAAAAGTCAGTCTGGAACCCCAAACTCTAGTGGTTTCTTATCATTTGAAGCTGTTGTCATGGCCATCTTGATCCATCTTATGCGATTGTGGTTTCGTTCAAACCCAAATTAGGATTGATCATATATGAAATACCCTCTGGTAAACTAACATAGCTATGGAAAATCACCATTTATAGTGAGTTTTCCTATGAAACATGGTGATTTTCCATAGCTATGTTAGTTTACCAGAGGGTATATGAAATACATTGAAATACCATATGTGGGTGGGATGAACATCTGCATCCCAGGCTTTTTTGAAATTCACCACAGGAGGAAGAGTTGGCGCGCGCCCTAAGGCAGCGCATGAACTCTCTATGCTCGGTCTCACGGCAGGAGGAGAAGGGCTTCAAGAACTGGATGAAAAGCCAGAAATAACTGGGGTAAACTAACACGGCTATGGAAAATAGCCAGTATAGATAATTTACCTATTAAACACGGTGATTTTCCATAGTTATCTTAGTTTACTGGAGGGTATAACTGGGGTATACCCTTTTTGGGGTAAACGTCTACATAGATGTGCAAAACCTTTCTGGTGTCCCATTCTGAACATGATCTAGAAATGCTGGTTTCCACTTTACAGGAGGTTTCCCTACATCTAACATCATCTATAACTGGATTACAATATGGACATTACCCAATTACTGCTTGTACCTCACACCATATATCGGTCTCTCTGAAAATATGGTACCCCTAATCCAATGGTAGATCATCATTTTGCCTATAAAAAAGACTATTTGGGGTACCCTCTGGTAAACAAACATAGCTATTGAAACTGGTCATAGAAATAGTTGATTTACCCATTAAAAATGGTGGACATTTCCATAGTTATGTAAACGCTTACCAGAGGGTATATCATGGGTATATCCAATTTTCAGACACATACATAACTTGCTGTAATATGAACATTACCTACTTGCTACCTGGAACATCCCAGTAAGTGAGTGACAACCACTAGACATGGTGGGTGTTTTGCTGGTTCAAATCCTCCAAGATGCATGGTTTTGTTGGTTTCAGCATGTGACATGTGATTTTGCTTGAGATTTGCATATTACACATTTATTCAGTGATTTTCAGTGAGTAATAATATTATTCAGTAATAGAAGTGGTAAATCATATGTGACATGGTGGTTTTTTCAGTGATTTGAGTGGTCCGTTACCAGAGCTGGTGACCCTGGTGACCGGTTGAGCCGACAAAGACTATGTATAGTGAGGCTATGGCCCAAAAATGTGGCTTCAGGGGATTTAGAAGTCCACCATGTCAGGACCAGTTTTTTTTCGAATAGCCAGTCATCACTCATGTCAAGCCCGGATTCATGATAAAACATTGTTAACACTATGGCTTCCCAGATGTTTTTTTTTTTTTAAAAAAATATGAATTAACAATATATTGTCTGGTTTTTTCCATGTTAACATTAAGATTTCTGCTGACATGAATTGTTTATGGGTTCCCCTCTTTTGGGTTTTTGTTCCGCCTCAATCCATGGGATCTACAACAGATTCAATGCTGAAAATCAATAGAAAATCAGTAGAAAGCAAAGATCTTATAGATATTGTTATAGATCCAATCATTGAAAATCTATAGATATTATTGATATGATTATAGATCTTTATCAAGAAATCTAATAATCCATATCCAACCACTTTAAGGGCTAGTGAGTTTTCAGCACAGCCATCGCTCAGCTCCAGCCATGGCTCCAGCCACGGCTCCGTGGCTAAGGAGTTGGCAGACTGTGGCATCGAGGCATTGAAATTGTGTGCCAACTTGGGCCATCGCAGCTTGGTGATGCCAACTTGGGGCCATGGATTTAGACCGGGGGAAAAAAAAACAAACAAAGTCCTTGATTTGTTTTTTTTGACATGATGATTTAGTGTTTGATATTTAGTAGGTGATTTGATGCAGTGATGTTCTATCTTGATAGGTGATTTGTATTTAAAAAAAAGCTAGTAGTGACTCGCAACTCGCAAGATTTCCACTTCAGGTTGCTGCGATTTCTTCTTGGTCCATTGTTTTGGTTGATTTCCAGATGACATCTGGGTGAATTATGATGACACCCCATAAATGATGGTGTAGAAAATGAAGAACGTCCTCATAGATCTCGCATAAAAACCTAATTTCACAGCTTGGTGTAGACTAGATACTTGCTTCTACATCCCGAGAGTTGTACCTTATCACTTTGGAGGTTCCTAAGTCCTGGTACCCCCAATTCATCCATTTCAGTATGGGATTTTCCATCGGATTTTGCATGAAACAAAGCATCCAGCTGGGGTATCCCCATTTGCCCAGATGTGTCCAAGCCTCCAAGTCCTTGGTTGTAATTATTTGTTCCTGGATTAAAGGTGCCCATCAAGCAATCCATCTTTTTTAAGGTGCCTTGGAACTGGAACTTCGTAAATGATCAATGAGTGGCTCAGAAAAAACAATCTTCACCAGTGAGAAGTTCTCAACCACTATTACGACCTATTTGATCACAGAGGTAGTGAATAAATGCTGTGAATTCCCCCCTTCACCAACGAATTCTGACTTCATTACTGTCATGCCAGCATTGTCATGAACTGGTGATACCCCATGATTGGCGAAGCATTTCATAAGCCTAGGTCAACTGTTGGGTTATGTTGGGCTTATGGTAATGATTATGAGTCCAGGAAAGAGATCAACCCAATCATCAGCCCAAACGGGATCATACGCTTGGTGGCGCCTCATGCCAAGTTGGCTAAGTTAGTTTATTTTCAAATCGATTAACCAGTTCGATATACCATAAACCCAAGAATTTTCACCTAGGCACATCAACAAACTTCGCCAAGTCAATGGGATATCACCAGTTTTAATGGGCTTGCTGAATCACCAAAGATGTCACCCATGTAGCACTAGCTTCGATTGAAGCCAATGATGATCAATCGATGATCTCAGACACCACTGGGAGGACCATCCCGATCAGATTCGTCCCCGATTCCATTTAACGAATCTTGGTCAACTACCCTCTGGTTATTTAACATAACTATGGAAAATCCCTAATAACTGGAGGTTTTAATAGGAAATTCATCTATAAATGAGCCATTTTCCATGGCTATGTTAAATAACCAGAGGGTATCACTTAGGAGTCGTGGGGTATAGACTACCCCACGGTTCGTGTTGTTGAATTACAAATGGTGAATATCCCCATTGTCGATGGTTCTACCGTCCCAACTTCTAGCGATTCATATTTTTCCATATTACAAGGAGTCCCCTTAAAGGATGACCAGGGGCCTCATGAAAATCACCCTGGTGAGACCAAGGTACTTTTGAAAAACTCTTAGTCTTGGTCAATATCCATATTTTCAGCATGATTAACCATCGTACTCACAAAAACGCCTAAAATGTCTCTGGACATTTATGGCTTTTTTCAACCCGCAGAATCATCCCACTTAGCAAGTGCATGGTATTATTTAGTAACCCTAAGTCCCTTAGGACCTAGGAGGATTACCCTCTGGTAAACTAACATAACTATGGAAAATCACCATGTTTAATGGAAAAATCCACTATAAATGGCCATTTTCAATAGCTATGTTAGTTTACCAGAGGGTATCCCATTCACAACTGGATTGTCACAATCAGGTCATGAACAAAAAAAAACTACGAGCACTGTGGGATGATCCTCCAGGTACCTCCATATAATTTACGTAGTTAGGTCATAAATCCCATAGTTGAACCATTTGAAATAACCATATTGGAATATTTTCAGGAGGTATAGAAAACAGTTATTTTCATGGGATTATGAATGATTCTATTGGTATATATTGTTTTTTTGTTGGTTACATGATATTCCCATCTTTTCCCATAAAATCCATGATAAAATCCCATGACCAATTCCATAGATATCCAGTTCGTTGGATCACCATTTTTTTTTGTGAAAACATGGTTGGTATAACCCATGAATACCAACCACTATATATACCCTCTGGTAAACTAACATAACTATGGAAAATCCCCATCTTCAATGGGTAAATCTACTATAAATCACCATTTTCAATAGCTATGTAACAAATTACCAGATGGTATATTATATATATATGTATATATATATATATAGATATTCCAAAATATACCAGCCATATGAATATTATGAATATTATGGTTGGTATATGAAATAGTGAGTAAAACCATGCACGCATTTTTTGAAACCCGTAATAGAATATGCATATGGATCATTTGGGGTGGAGTTGGGGTGGGGTGGGTGGGGGTAATAACGTTCATGTCAACTTGAAAATCTGTCATGTTACGCTGTGGGATCTTCTCTTGCATTTGCACACGTACGTCATGCTCTTGCACTTGCACACATACGTCATGCTACGCTGTGGGATCTTCTCTTGCACTTGCACTATGCATATTTGTGTTTGGGTGGTGGGGGATGGGGTGGGGTGGGGCATGTTAACGTTCCATGAGCTTCAACTTCGTCAATCTTACATTCGTGCAAACAATCAAAAGTCTGTTTAACATGAAATCTAGATTGTTAGTTTTGCGGTCTCGCAAAAAGCCTGTTCCAAGAGTTCAAATTATCGATGTTTCGTTCCATGATTCAGCAAAGATATCCTAGATGTCAAAACCATTGGGAAAAACCATGAAAAAACAACATCCAAATGCCTGCGGAACATTCAACTCATCTAAAGATCAGAAATCCAAACTAAGACGTCACAGAAACCACTGCGCGTTTCTATGTGCGTGCAGCCTGAGTAAAACCCATATACCATCCCTCCCGGGGTCCCAAGGTCCCTATGGTGAAGCCATCCTCCGCAGCCGCAGCGCCCCTGGCGGTCGCTTCTGGCGCGCCTCAGCGCCCGCAGGTCCTGCGCCAACGCCGCGGCTCAGCGGTGGCGCTGCGCCGGCGGCGCGGCTGTTCACCGGGCCGCCAGCGGTGTGCGGCGGAAGCGCCACCGCGCCGCAGATGCTTGGGCTGGGGATTTTATGATTTTTATGGGAGTTCACCAGCAAATTTCGTGCAAAAGAAATATGGTGAAAATACATGAAACATGTGGATTTAAGCCATGAAGATGAGGATTTCACATGATTTGAACATTGGAAATTGTTTTAATGGATCAACCAGCTGGGGTTTGTTAACCTGGGGTTGAGATTAAAGGGATGCATTTGGGGAGTTCTCCCACACATGGTTTATGTTCAGTCTAGGAAATAAGTAATTTGTTCAGTTTGTTATTGCAGGTTATTTCACCACCAACACATAGGAGTTAACTCCATCAAACCTTGGTATAGACTGTAGAATTGATGGTTGATGGTTGGTTGATGCAAAAACCAGCTACTATAAAACTGGTTTTAAGAAAATATGGCAGTGCAACCCACTTTCACAACTAGTTCAGATTTGTGCACCCAAGGCAAAGTGGTCTGATTTCAGTGACTACAACTCAGTCATACTATTGCATGAGTTTTCCCCACTGGTCCTTGACCTTCTTCACTTAAATGGCTGGTTTTGAAACCAATGAATCATTTTGCCTCCTTTACCCACAATTCTTTTACATGCTTTGCTATAGGTCTATGTCTATGGAGGCTATGGGAATAGTGAGTAAAGGAGGCTATAGGTCTATGCCTACTTGGAGGATCATCCTTCTGATTGGTAACCCTACTAAGTCCCCATTTCCTGGGTATCCCAATTAGTAAATGTGTTGTAAGTTATAACCCAAACACTAACCAGTTGCGATTCGTGGGATGATCCAGGTAGGAGAAGCTCCTTTTGGCCCAGGATCCACACGGCGCCGTGGATGACGCCGCTGCCTGGCGCTGGCCCCGCGCCCGGGGTCCCTGGCGCCGCCGGGGCCACCGCGCCGATTCCGCAGCTGGGCCTCTCGCCGCGGCGGCCGTCGCCGGCCCGGCGCCACGGATGGCCTGGACGGAGCCGGGACGGCGCTGTCAGCACACGGCGCGGGCGGTGACGGCCTCGGGCACCAGCTTGACGCCAAGCGCCAGCAGTGCCTGGGGCCTTCGGAGAAAAATGGGGAGAGACGCGTGGAACAAATGGGGAGAAACTGACAAAGAACCAATTCATTAAGATCAATTGATGCTTTTTATATTAGATAATTAATGGAAAAGAAGTGGATTTTGCTGTGGTTCACCATCGAGAGAATTGGGAACGAAGAGAGACTGGGTACACAACCTATTTTAGCTTGCATGGCTAGGTTCCGGGTTTCACCCCAGTTTTTAAATGGTGAGTTTCATCGTGTTGTTACTTTCCCTTCATTGAATGTTGGAATTCCCAATCTTCCATTTTTTCGATCTAGCTCAAAACATGTAGCTGGCTCAATTTCATCAGGGGTATGTTTTGACAGTCACCTTGGGCTTTTTCAGAGGTACCATATCTAGTACTAAAGTAATCAGTGGGGATTGAACCTGGCAATTTAATGCAATTTAACAGATTGGGAAGTTTCTGCGAGCTCGCTCAACTGCAACGAGCTGGCTCAGCACCATCGAGCTCGCTCAATGCCACGTAGCTGGCTCAGGGGCATCGAGCTAGCTCAATGGCATCGAGCTGGCTCAATTTTTTTAGCGAAAAAAAAAAAAAACCTCGCAGAAATTGAGCCAGCTACGTCACGTTGAGCTGGCGGACGAATGTGAGAGCATCAAAACGAACACTAGCTATGTATTGGCCGGGTTCATGACGCATTGGCGAGCCGGCTCAAGGGCATGTAGCCGGCTCAATTTCTGCGAGTTTTTTTTTTTTTTTTTCGCTAAAAAAATTGAGCCAGCTACGTGGCGCTGAGCCAGCTACGAGGCGCTGAGCCAGCTACGTGGCATTGAGCCAGCTACGTGGCGCTGAGCCAGCTACGTGGCACTGAGCCAGCAAGGTAGCTTTGAGCTTTGAGCTAGCAAGGAGGCAGTGAGCCAGCAAGGTAGCTTTGAGCTTCATCATATATATATATCCCTGTGTACATTTCCACTATGAAATGGCTTGACCCATGTTCCATTCCAGGGGCATTTTTCTAACAAAAGGAGGCATTTTGTAAGGACATTTTTCTGGTCAACCATGCCAAAAGAGTGTTTTTTGCTGGGCGATTCATTTTGTAAGAGCCAACTTTCTTTACAAAATGAACTCGGGGCCAATCATTTCATAACGCAATTTTGGGTTTATTTCAGGCAGTGCAAAAAAGGGTATTGAAATCTTGGCCATGTCCAGGAACCAGGGTTTCTTCTCTATTTTTTTTCGGGGTTCCACCATTGATGTGTGAAGAACCGGCAAGACACCACTAAGTCAACCAACCAGAAAAGGTGATATCAAACTTTCTGGGATTGTTTTTCCAAACCTTGGGGACTGGGAAAAAAATGCGGGGTTCCCTGGGGAAAGTTGGACTTGTACAAGTAAGACATGTTTCCAAACAAACCATTTTTTAAGAGACAAGCTTATAAGATGATTGGGTTTGGGGCCTGGAAATTAACTTGGGGCAACCATTTTGTAAGGAGCCGATTTTTGATTTTTTTGGGGTTCACCGGTGTTTGCTGGGGAATCACACCAAGCCTGGTGCCCAACCCATTTTGTAAACCCCTAACCATGGATGTTTGTAAGGTTAACTCCTGGGTCCCTTACAAAATGGTTGCCTTGGGTCAGGGGGGTAAATGTGCAGGGGGATATATATATATATACACCTATGCAATCCCAACCATGTAATATACTAGATCTAGGGAAAAGCAATTTTTTTGAGGGAGACACGTACCTTTGAGCTGGAGCGGGAATGTGAAATCTAACATTCGACTTCAGAACGGCTCAAAAATGGCTTGTCCCAGACCGAAATGACCCATTTGTTGATGAAGTTCTTAGTTTTGTGGTTCTATCCTGTTCAATCCTGTTCATACTTGTTCACCGACAAATTGATGAGATTAAATCACATATATCATGGTAGTATTACTAATATATTAATATAATATTGGGTAATATACTATATATTACTTGGGTAATATACTATATATTACATGTTCCAAGCATTTCCCAGCCACTTCCGAAGCATTTTTCCAGGTTGCAACGTCCTGCTGCGCCCCCCGCAGCCCAGCGCCTCACAACCGCTGTCGCCCAAAGAGACGTTGACGCTGCCCGGGCGCCTCCCATCGCCCAATGGCCGTCCCTTGGTTGGAAGTACCATTGGTGCTGTGAAATGTCTAGGAAACAGTGTAGGTAGTGTTACTGGTTGGTGGTTTCAAACATGAATTTTATTTTCCATTTCATATATGGGATGTCATCCTTCCCATTGACTTTCATATTTTTGAAGATGGTTGAAACCACCAACCAGGTTAGTAAAGGAATGTCAGAAACCACCAATATGTTGAATTGTTTTGATGTCTGCCACCTCGTAAAATGCTAAATGTTGGGGATGGTTTACTATTGCCTTGCTAACATTATAACCATAAGGGATATGAACCATGAATTTTGCCGCCATGGGATCCATAATTGAATTATTTAAGTATTCTTTTCAGGACCCACAAATTGTTGGATTCTTACGTTTTGTTTTATTTTTTTATTTTTTGGTTTTCATGGTTGATGATGATGACTGACTACCAGCTATCTGTCAGAGTTTTCAAAACAGATGATACATAGAATAATGTTGGTTTGAACCATGAATAATGGTGGAACATGGGGATTTAACCATCCTGCCATGTTGATATGTAGACATATACATAATTACATTGTACTGCATCGCATTACATTGCATCACAGATACACTGCACTACATGACATTGCACTAAGCACTACACCACATTGTGTATATATACACATATATTATATGAGACATTGCACTACATTACATTACACCATTACATTACACCATTATATACATTACACCATTACATTACACCATTATATACATTACACCATTACATTACACGACATTCTACATATTACATTACATTTCATCATATTACATTACATTACATTTCATCATATTACATTACATTCCACAACAACACATCATTAGAATTCATTAGATACTTCAGCCATGAGCCTAGATCTTATGGTGAACATCGTAGTTCACCTGAGGCTTGTGACACCTCACCAGACACCGCTCCAGGTTATTTGCACCGGCCTTTCGATCAAGACTCCGTGTCAAATGCCAAGGTGCTGCAGGGGTCCAAGCGGTCCAAGCTGCCCCTGGGTATCACAAAATATCCTGCGTTGGTTTGGCCATATGGAGCATGCTCCTGTTTTGGGACAAACCCACACATATCCATATATATATATATATCTATATAAACATACTTGCTCCTGTTTTGGGACTAAACCATACATATACATACAATATATACACTATATATATATATATTAAATTATGTGTTTTTGTATGTATACCATTGGGATGGATACATATCCATTAATATTTTATCTTCATCTTCACATGGTTGAAATCTCCACAGGCCGGCGATTCTTCGCTGAAGAGCTCCGCAGAAAACCTGCTGAAATTGGAGGACCCAATAAAAGTGGCACGAATTTTCGCGAATGCATCGAGAGAAGTGGCATGTTGAAACTGTGTTTGTTATACTTAGAATCTAAATGATCTAAATGACCCTGAACTTGTCATACTTGAAGGATTTCCCTCCAAAACAAGGGTCATCTGAGTCATCTGGGCTCCAGGCACCCGGATATTCATATGGCCAGTTTTTATATGGTTTTATCAGTTGAAACAGCAAACTTGTGATCTGCGGGGTGATTGCATCGTGACCATAATTCTGTCACTCGAAGTTCAATATTCCGATTGTCTTACGCAAATTGTGCCATCGTCAGTGAGAATGATTTGAGTTAGAACAGGGCAACCGGGGAACTAAACCACTTAATTACTGTAGAATTTTGAGTTGGCATGCTTTGAGTTTCCTAGATCCACCTAATGTTCAGTATTGAAACTTGCATGCTCTGAACTAGAAGGATTTGGATGAAAGAATCATTGTATCATCCAAAAATGGTTTCAAACCGATTGTGTGCTCTTTCTCTTGATGTCCTGCCAAAGACTGAAGAAGCCGAAAGTGGGCCGTTATTGTCAGAGTATATATATATATATACATATACACACGGTATATAGGTTTAGCTCTCTCATCAAGCTGCAGTCACTTTAAGTCGGTTGAAGCAACAAATCCCTATCCCATCGCATAAAAATGCATAAAATCGTGTACTGCCAAGCATGTTTCCCTGTCTGGGTCGATGCCAACGTAGGTGCCCACATCTCTAACAATCATCTCTATCCCCTTTGGTAGCTGAAAGTTCCCGTGTTGAGTTGGTAAAATGCTCGTTTTGGTCTTGTTGCGAAAGAAATCATCTTAAATCCACATTTATTGATGAACATCCTACTCTTGTGGCGCTTCCGAATTTTCTGGTGACACATCCCGCCGTGCGGTGCAGGACTCTGTGGGGGACTCCACCCTGGGCGCCGCCGGCGCCGGCTACGGCGCCCGTATCCGAGGCCCCCAGGGCCCGCAGGGCCCGCAGGGCCCGCGGGTGCAGCTACCGATGGCGGATCTGCCGCCGGAGGCGGGAGGAACCACTTGGAGGTTTAGTTCACTGGGAACATCTAAAGATGGATGATATATGGGATATAAATGGATATAATATGATATAATGAAGGTTTCTATGAATGGGATTTAATGGTTTATAGCTTGAAAAAAACTATGGAAAACCATTAAACAATGGATACTAATGGGATATGAAACTTGGAAAAGGATGAAAAGTGATGATGCTAGGGTCGTTTCACTGATGCTTCATAGATGAATCATAGTCAATCTTGGATACCCTAACTTGTAATTAGATGTTCAACTGACTTGGAGGATCCCAGTTAATGTCAACCCCGGATTAATAAACCCCTAGGTTGTTTAATTGGGAAGGTACCATAAAAAAGTATCAAATCATGACTATTTGGGGGAATACCACCCTAATTGTCATAAACCATGGTTTAGCAAAATCCGGGGTTGACATTAACTGCTTAGTGTTTGTTGGGATCATCCAATTGGGAACTTACCCCTGGGGTTAGATTCATCAGAAAAACGAGCCCTGGGATGACCAAAAAGATCGGACAGGCAGGGTCATTCTACTCCTATTTCAGTAGGATACCAACTGTTATCTTTTTCGAGATGATGATTATCTGGGGAGTAGCCACATCCATGATGTAGTTTAGGATACCAACTGTTATCTTTTTCGATACCAACCGTTCTCAATGATGTAATCAATGATTATATGAGAGATAGTCAATAGATATTTTATCAATCTATAGATTGACATATTATAATGATTATATGTTATTTCTAGATAACCCCTATTTCGAGATGATAATTATCAATGATGTAGTTACCCTCTGGTAATTGAGCCTAGCTGCTGGGATCTGTTAGGCGCCAGAGTGTACAGTAAATCTACACGCCAGGTGGATTTCCTGTTGTCTTTGAACTAGGATGCAGACAAAATTAGGTCTCCCCCCAATAGAACAGAAGATGAATATGGGAGGGGGTTACCCAACGAAATCACATACAGAAGCTACAGAATTGGGTTGAACTATACAGCCACAATATTGCTTATTGAATCCCATTACCCAGTAAGAGACCCTAAGATAAACAGATCGAATAGATCCGTATTAGACCATAATTTTCTGTTTGGGAGATATTTCTTATATTCGGGGGAAAGGATTAGTCTTTGGTTACCCTTCGGTAATTCAATACAGCTAGTAAACATTGCCATCTGATACTTGATTTAAAGATTTTCTGATTTTTCAATTTTACATCGCTTTTTGTGAGTTTACCAGCTATGAAAAACAGTTTGCCACGGAAAATGGCCATATTTCATGGGCATTGCCCTCCGGGCCCGGCTCAAGAGTACAGCTGGTTTTTTTCCGCCAGCCATGGGAAGCGGCGCAAGCAGCAAGAAGCAGTTTCTTTTCCAGCATTACCGTCGCATTTCGGTGGTGTCTTGTGGTAATAGATTCATAGATGGGTTTATCACGTATACTTATAACTACAATATGGAGGTTTCCTAAAATAGGGGTACCCCAAATCATCCAAAATTAGACCATTTGAGCATTGAAACCCATGATTTTGGGGCACACCATTTGAAGAAACATCCATGTACTGTACACATATATTCTGCCTAATTTAGAGCGAGGGCTGACGAGGTACGAGGTGAATCTTTGCAATTTAAGCGAGGTGAATCAATTAAATTCAGAAAACGAGGTGGGCAGAAATTGCTTTCAAAGCATGTGTAACGAGTAAAAAAAAACTTTTCGGGCTCCAGAAAGTTTTTTTTGTTCCCATCAGAGTGGAAAAAAATAGAAAATTAAGGGTGCATTCAGACCCCATGAAAAAAAAAACTTTCTGGAGCCCGAAAAGTTTTTTTATCGTAATTTCAGTCAGTGCCCTGTGGTGGCATGCCCGGTTGTTCCAGGACTTCCGTATTTGTTCTACAGTGAAACCACTGTTTAAGAACCCACTGCATTAAGAACCTCAGGGGCTGGATTGCTGGATTCAACTCTGTCTACCAGCTAATTGGAATAAGAACCCTAGGTAGTTCTTATTCACCTTTCCCAGGTAGCGCGACTAGATTCTAAAATTGCTAAAGCTTGAGGTGTAGCGGGGTATCTTGGTGCTGCTGCTGCAGCTTCTCTTCTCTGGGGTCGAATTTGGGGGGAATCGAGCCCCTGCAAATCCGCTTGTAAAAGAGGCATCTCGGAAACAGGAAAAAACTTTTTAGGCCCTGAAAAGTTTTTTCAGCATCCCCAAGCCTCTGGAGCCCAGAGCGTTGCTGCAACGACGACAAAGATAATTCAAAAAAGTTAAACCCAAAAGGAGGCAGAGGACTAGTTCGAATGGCTTGCGGTCGAGAAAGAAATGGGACGAGGGCTGAAATCCGTTTTGAATGTGACGAGGCGAGGACTGAAGATTTAATCAGAGGGGAAAAGTAGATTTAAGACGAGGAAACCGTTTTTGAATTTAAAGTAAAATTTGCATATATATATATATATATACATATAGAATGGGCTAGCGCCCGGGTGCCGCCGACCCCCCCTATTTGGGGGTCCTGCAGAGAGAGGGAGAGAGATAGATAGATGGATGGATGGATGGATGGATGGATGGATAGATAGGTAGAGAGATAGAGAGAGAGAGATAGACAGATAGATAGATAGACAGTTGGATAGACAGATAAGTAGATGGAGAGATAGATGGATAGATAGCTGGATGGATAGATAGATGGATAGATAGATAGAGAGGGAGAGATAGATAGAGGGGGAGAGAAAGATAGAGAGGGAGAGATAGATAGATAGAGAGGGAGAGATAGATACTCCGACGGCATCCGACGGCATCAGCGGTTCAGTGGGTCAGTGGCGCGTCGCTTCCGGCGGGCCGTGCTGAGGTCGATGGTGGTACATGGTGGGACAGACATGGACATATATGTTTTGATATGCCCCAACATGCCGCAATTCAATTTGCCACACAATGTGCAATGTGTATGCAATGAGTATGACGCTACAAATTTGAAGTCAGGCTTGAACCACCATAAAAGGACAATGCCGGGGCTGGCAAACGGCATGGGAGCTGCAGGGAAGCATTTGGGGGGTTTTGCGGGCTGGCAGACGGCAGGCTTGAACCACCATAAAAGGACAATGCCGGGGCTGGCAAACGGCATGGGAGCTGCAGGGAAGCATTTGGGGGGTTTTGCGGGCGGGCAAACGGCAGGCTTGAACCACCATAAAAGGACAATGCCGAGGCTGGCAAACGGCATGGGAGCTGCAGGGAAGCGTTTGGGGGGTTTTGCGGGCTGGCAAACGGCAGGCTTGAACCACCATAAAAGGACAATGCCGGGGCTGGCAAACGGCATGGGAGCTGCAGGGAAGCATTTGGGGGGTTTTGCGGGCGGGCAAACGGCAGGCTTGAACCACCATAAAAGGACAATGCCGGGGCTGGCAAACGGCATGGGAGCTGCAGGGAAGCATTTGGGGGGTTTTGCGGGCTGGCAGACGGCAGGCTTGAACCACCATAAAAGGACAATGCCGGGGCTGGCAAACGGCATGGGAGCTGCAGGGAAGCATTTGGGGGGTTTTGCGGGCGGCAAACGGCAGGCTTGAACCACCATAAAAGGACAATGCCGGGGCTGGCAAACGGCATGGGAGCTGCAGGGAAGCATTTGGGGGGTTTTGCGGGCGGGCAAACGGCAGGCTTGAACCACCATAAAAGGACAATGCCGGGGCTGGCAAACGGCATGGGAGCTGCAGGGAAGCATTTGGGGGGTTTTGCGGGCGGGCAAACGGCAGGCTTGAACCACCATAAAAGGACAATGCCGGGGCTGGCAAACGGCATGGGAGCTGCAGGGAAGCATTTGGGGGTTTTGCGGGCGGGCAAACGGCAGGCTTGAACCACCATAAAAGGACAATGCCGGGGCTGGCAAACGGCATGGGAGCTGCAGGGAAGCATTTGGGGGGTTTTGCGGGCGGGCAAACGGCAGGCTTGAACCACCATAAAAGGACAATGCCGGGGCTGGCAAACGGCATGGGAGCTGCAGGGAAACATTTGGGGGGTTTTGCGGGCTGGCAAACGGCAGGCTTGAACCACCATAAAAGGACAATGCCGGGGCTGGCAAACGGCATGGGAGCTGCAGGGAAGCATTTGGGGGTTTTGCGGGCTGGCAAAACGGCAGGCTTGAACCACCATAAAAGGACAATGCCGGGGCTGGCAAACGGCATGGGAGCTGCAGGGAAGCATTTGGGGGGTTTTGCGGGCTGGCAAACGGCAGGCTTGAACCACCATAAAAGGACAATGCCGGGGCTGGCAAACGGCATGGGAGCTGCAGGGAAGCATTTGGGGAGTTTTGCGGGCTGGCAAACGGCAGGCTTGAACCACCATAAAAGGACAATGCCGGGGCTGGCAAACGGCATGGGAGCTGCAGGGAAGCATTTGGGGAGTTTTGCGGGCGGGCAAACGGCAGGCTTGAACCACCATAGAAGGACAATGCCGGGGCTGGCAAACGGCATGGGAGCTGCAGGGAAGCATTTGGGGAGTTTTGCGGGCGGGCAAACGGCAGGCTTGAACCACCATAAAAGGAAAATGCCGGGGCTGGCAAACGGCATGGGAGCTGCAGGGAAGCATTTGGGGAGTTTTGCGGGCTGGCAAACGGCAGGCTTGAACCACCATAAAAGGACAATGCCGGGGCTGGCAAACGGCATGGAGCGCAGGGAGCATTGGGGGTTTTGCGGGCGGGTAACGGCAGGCTTGAACCACCATAAAAGGACATGGCAAACGGCATGGGAGCTGCAGGGAAGCTTTGGGGGGTTTGCGGGCTGGCAACGGCAGCTTGAACCACCATAAAAGGACAATGCGGGGCTGCAAACGGCATGGGAGCTGCAGGAAGCATTTGGGGAGTCTTGCGGGCGGGCAAACGGCCGGCTTGAACCACCATAAAAGGACAATGCCGGGGCTGGCAAACGGCATGGGAGCTGCAGGGAAGCATTTGGGGGGTTTTGCGGGCGGGCAAACGGCAGGCTTGAACCACCATAAAAG